ACACACACACGCACACTGACTGACTGAGTGTGTAATATTTGGCACAGCAGGCATGAAGCAACTCCACGCCCTGCCACCAGGTGGTCCACATGTCTGCACAGGCCTTTCAATGTATTATTCCTTTCAGTCTAGTTGCTTTAACACACAGCCAATCATCTTACCTTGATGCTACTTTTCTACCCACTCTAAGAGGGACCATGGGCCCTTGAAACACACAAGGCTGTTTTTCGTATATATGCACCACTGGAAAAAAGTAACATGGAATGTATAATGCATTTTCTTTTTGTTAAAATGGATTTCATCAAATTGGTTTAAAAAAAATATATATATTGTTCAGGAACTGTAATCAGTCAAGGTATCTGTGTCGGTATCATTTCTGAATGATACCCAGCCCCACCTCACAGCCTGTACGAGGACCATTCTCAATTTCCCCCTTGTTCTCTGTGCAGGCCGCAGTAAGAAGCGCGAGGACGACGAGGGTCCCAGCTCCGTGGTGGGCCTGTTGCCGGCTGGCGGTGTGATGAGCAGCCAGCCCAAGGGCGGCTTGGAGCTGTCGTGCAGCTGCAAGGCGAGCAGCTCCAGCCTGATCGGAGGCAGCGGGGCGGGCTGGGAGGGCACGGCCCTGCTCCACCACGGCAGCTACATCAAACTGGGCTGCCTCCAGTTCGTCTTCAGCATCACCGAGTTTGCCAGTAAGCAGCCCAAAGAAGAGCAGACGGCCATGCCTGCCGCCAGCTGCATTGGAGCCAGCAGCAGCAGCAGCAGCAACAGCGCAGCAAGCACCACTACCAGCACCGCCCCCACCACCACCACCACCTCCTCACCCCCCAATACTGCCACAGTGAGCAGCCCCTCCAGCCAGGACGAGGCCGACACAGAGACTGTCCCCACCCACCAAGTGCCCATACTGCACGCCAACTCTGTTCCATAACCGGCACAGGAAGCCCCGCCCTCCCTCCTTTTGTTTTGCACCTTCCGAGTCACAATGAAGGGAAAGCTGCACAGCTGGTTGGTCAACAGGGAAAAGTTTATTTTTTCATTTTAATGGTTTATATCTTTGCATGAACTTGAAGTATTATTGACAATCTCTTCTGTTTTCGAATGACTGACAGTAACCTTCTGTTCACTTCAGACCGATTGAGCGACCATTATTTACCCACGCTCACTCTTTCTTTTGCCAGTATATTGGTTATGTATGGTGTATCATTATTTTGTCAGTCGGCCCATTTAGCACAAACCTTTTATTTTGTAGTATTGAATTCCATACATTCTAATTTCTTTTGCTGCTTTTGCACCACAGGTAGCTATATATGTATGAAAACATACATGCTTATACACTATGATATGTATATATAATGTAAATATATATAATTCAGTGCCTCTCAATTGGAGAAACATTGGATTTCATGTAGATTTACCATTTTTTGGTTTTTAACTGTACAGTTCATGGAATTTGTGATACTGTGTAGAGTACCAGAAGTTTTGTGATAAAACATGTTCTTAGTCTGTACTTTCCGCTGTAGTCCATCTGTAAATACCGTATTGTTTTAGCACTCATTTTAACATCTTGTGCTGCTCTGTATATAAGCACTCTTTGTCTGTACCTGCTTGTCTGTTCAAACCTGTAAATACAGAAAGATTTTCTAAGAACAACCTGGATGGATTGGAGTCCTCTGTTATTTTCAGGCTTTTGTGGGTCCACGTGAGGCTGTACAGAGCTGAGCTGCCAGTATATTTAGATTTTAGTGATTACTTTTAAGGTTCTACATGGTCTCTTGCCTTGCTACATGTCAGACCTTTATAACACTGTACCCGGCTCATACTTTAAGGTCCTCGTGCAGAGGCCCGGCTGAAAGGGCATTTGCAGTCAGGCCCCCAAGGCTCTGGAACAACAGGTCAGCTGAGTGAGTGATCTCTTTCCCTTCTTAAAATATATTTTTATCAGACAGCCTATCCTAATTTTACTCAAAATTATTTTACTTCCTAAATGTTTTTCTTATTTTACATTGATCATTTAATAACTGGTTTTATTTTTTGTGAAGCACTTTGAAACTTTGGTTTTAAAAGTGCTCTATACTTAAAGATTATTATTATTATTATTATTATTATTATTATTATTACATACCCGATAAAGTGTTTTCTTGTTTTTTGTCTTGAAATATGTAATCTAGAAAAACAAGAAAACCAAGTCTTATTTCAGTTTTATAATATAATTTGGTTTTGTGTAGTTTCTCTGCTAACATTTAACTTTAACTTTAAGTTAAGAGCTTAAGTAAGATCCATAACTTTCAGTCAGCACGTCTCTTCCATCAGTAAACTGACTTGTAACAGATTCAACTTGCATCCCAAACTAAGCCAATCTAAGGCCAAAACCACAAGCAGGGTGCTACAGGGGACCCGGGGGGGCTTGGCTCTTCTTAATAAGGCATGAGCTCTCCTGAAAACATGATTTGTGAGTTTTCTTCAATATTGCCCATGTGCTATTTTTGCAATGCATCTGTGAAACTGTCCACTTTAGGAAGCATATGCGATTGTCCATTAGCATGTTAGTATTAAAGTGGCAGACCTTTAAATGGAGTTGGTCTGTGGAGGTGCAGACACTGCAGTAAAGAGGTTTTACCTGAATGAAATGAGATTTCTGAGTTTGAACAACATTTGGGATAATGAAAGTACACAAATTCAACTACATATAGAACATAGAGCTAGTGTTTATTGACCGTTTAATGCAGTATTGTTACAGATTAGAGCTTTAAGCTTTATTCATTTCCAGCCATTTTTAAATTTTATGTGAAGAAGTGCAGGTCTGCAACTGCAGGTGGTGCTGCTTTCCTGTTGGATGGAGGAGGAGGATGTGATTTAACACAAAGCTGTAACCTTATGACAGAGTGCACACTGTCAAGCCCAGGCAGGAAATGGGTGTGTTTGTTTAATGTGGGAGTCTGAACGCACAAACTTTGCTCTGACTTTGTCAGTGCAGCCAGTCTGGGAGTGTAAGCAGCCAAGGCTTGAGCAATGTCTACCCTTCTGCTGGTCGTGGGTGTTGTTGTAGGAGTTGCTTACATTTACCATCATGTTGTGGTGAAGGGAGCACGGTGCACGAGCAAAGCAAAGCTGTATGGGAAGACTGTGATTGTGACCGGTGAGTAAAGGCTCTGCTATGTAGAGTGCTGTGTCATGACAGTAGTCATGTCCACTGACCTTTCCTCTGTATTGATGGGACGTGTGCACTACATTCAACATATTGTGCATTTAGAAGCAGCTCAGAGCACTCTGGCTTATCTCTGCAACTGGAACTGCAGGAAAACAAGACTAATGAAACAGAGGATTAGGAAGTACAAAAATACAGTGCAGTAGTAGTTCGGGCCAGAGCAAAGTAATCAGGTCAGTTTCAAAACAATCAGACTTTAATATGAAGGAAAAGCTGTTTTTTATATATATATTTTAAATCAAGAGAATTTGTCAAAGATTCTTTTTTTCATCATCCCTTTTTAAAAGAAATCCTAAAATATTATAATATACTAATAATGCATTCCTTCCCTGCTGTTTAAATGACTGTGCACTGTGATTGTTCATTAGATTCAGAGCTGTATACAGTATATCCTGACTGATGTGTGGCTGTGGAGGGAGTCCAGCTTGCTTGCATCTAGGACAGTTCACTTTCACTTGATGCAGGTCCAAATCCAGTATCTGTTTAGATTAAAAGCGTAATAACTTTCTTTTATTAAAATAACATATCTAATACTATATTCAGAATGGACAAGGTGGATAAAATGAAAATAAGGAACATGAGCACATAGGAGGTAAAAGAAAAAAAAATGAAAACAGTTAAAAAGATGTATCAAATATTTCCAAAAGTTTTTCACCAAAAAAGTTTTAAGAATAGATTGAAAAGATGCTATAGAGAATTAGAGACTTCCAGGGTGGGCTCTAACAGCAAAAGCCGATCACCCTGTGTCACACACCCTGACCTTGGAGTAACCAGCAGGGCTCCATCTGCAGACCTCAGTGTTCGAGGGAGCACATGAAATAAAACAAATCAGAAAGTCTTATTTTGTTTAAAACATAAGAGATTTTAGCTCATTTAAGGCAAAATCAACATCCATGGTGGCGCCCTAGAAGCTCACCTGGTAGAGCTGGCGCCCCATGCACAGAGATCAGTCCCTTTGCTGCGTGTCACCCCCTCACTCTATCTCAATCTTTCCTGTCACTCTTCATCTGTCACGGCCCAGTTATATTTACGGTAATTTTTTTCATTATCTGATTCAACCCACAACAATTAGGAATGTAAAGAGATATCATGGTATTAAGGCGTCAGTTTCACTTCACAAAAGGAAATATACATTGTTTTAAACAGTTAATAACCCACCTCAGAAATAAAAAAAGATTCTATAATCTGATTGAAGACACTGAGAAAATATATTTTGTCGTTCTATGGAGATCCACTTAATCCCCACAGCTCTCAGTGGGAGGTGAACATGGATGTGAACCGTTAGCTGACCGTTTGCAATGCACAGTCAGGTGTATCTGGTTAGAAGCTAAAGTTAGCCGTTCTCTGTAATGTTAAGGAGCTAAGCTAGATAAGGTTAGTGCTAATTAGAAGCAACAGGAGTGAGGAGTATTTTAGCTTATAGCTAGATGAACTAGATTTTGTAAAAGAGAGTATTTTTTAATGCAGCAGCGTATTATTCTGGGCTAGCTATGACATCACAGCAAGGTGATTGGTCAGGCGTTCAATAATCAAATTGAGAATAAATACTAGCACATACAACTTTTTGTAGATCAGCAATTGATAAACTGACCAAATGTAATAATTGTTTTGAGCTGGAAGAAACATGACCATAGACAGTTTTTACTTGACTTGTCTCTGACCTCCAGGCAGCAACACTGGCATTGGGAAGACTACAGCCATAGATCTGGCTAAAAGAGGAGCCAGAGTGATTCTGGCCTGTCGCAGTAAGCAGAGAGGAGAGGCTGCCCTCGAGGAAGTCAAGAGGGTGAGCAGAAATCTGTCATGCTGTCATTTCTGCCATTCCCAAGCAAGAGAAGGTTCTCTGTCCTTAGAGTCTGTGTAATGTCATGCAAGAACAACGTGTGTATGACAGGTTTTCTTTTCTTTTCACAAAAAGTAATCTCCTCCTTCTACCTCTCTAAAACCTCCAGAATCTCTGAATATTGTTCATTTCTAAAGTTTTCGCTGCTGGCAAGATGTTCCATCAGTGCATGTGCATGGGTTGCTTCAAGTTGTCACAGTTCATGCTGGTAGGCCCCGCCCCTTAAAACCAGATGTTCAGTGAGCTCAGAGCAACTTTCCACTTTCAGCAGATGAACATGAAAACATCCTTCAAGAGTCAAACTCTGCAGACAGCATTCAAACATCACACTGTAGGAACAAGAAGAACTAGACCTACAAGCAGGTATTAACAGGGTCCAGGCCTCTAGCATAAGACGCACCCAGCGACCTCCAGAAGCCATGCAAGTCGAACCTGCAGGCCACCAGATGCGATCAAAGGTTTAGAGCAGTACAGACATCGGAAAACATTCAGTTAAAAAACAGTAGTTTGGAAAGACTATTATACTGTACCGATTTTGCAGCAAAAGTGCCACCTAGTGGTTGATTTGTGCCACACTCAGTGAGGCATTGGAAACTACTGCTCATTTCATGTTAATCGGACAAACCTACATGGAGAAATAACATTTGCTGGTTTAAGTGAACCTTACAGAATTCTTTATACAACTTTTGATCATGAGGGTCTATAGATTCTACTTATGTTGCCACCCAAATGTGACATTAGTAACAAACATGTTTCCCAAACTTTCCTAGTGCTTCTTTACTTCATGTTGACCTCTTCATTCAGTGGAAACACTGCTCAATGTGTCCCGCAGGAGAGTGGCAGTAATCAGGTGGTGTTCATGCAGTTGGATCTGGGGAGCCTCAAGTCGGTCCGCAGCTTTGCTGAAAACTTCCTGAAATCTGAACCCAGACTGGACATCCTCATCAACAACGCAGGTGGGGATGTAAACACAGTGCAGTATCTCTTTCCGGGGTACATTATTGGTTGATTTTACAGTACAGTTTAAGTACAGTACCACTACAGTAAAATGGAAGTACCCTAACCAAGTGAACCACTTTCAGGTGTAATGGGTCCAGGACGTACTGAGGACGGTTTCGGAATGGCGTTCGGGGTAAACCACCTGGGTCACTTCCTGCTCACCAACCTGCTCCTGGAGCGACTGCAGCAGTGCGGTCCCAGTCGAGTGGTCAACGTGGCCGCGCTTCTGCACCGCTGTGGCACCATCGACTTCCCTCTACTGGCTTCCAATAAGGATTTGGTGTCTGGTCAGTCTGCCTGGCACAACTTCCGAGCCTACTGCAACAGCAAGCTGTGTAATGTGCTCTTCACCAGGGAGCTGGCCAACAGGCTGGAGGGCACCAGTGTCACCTGCTACAGCCTCCACCCAGGTCAGTGCTCTCTGCACAATTCATATAGGAGTCTCGTGTGAGGTAACATTTCCTCTGGCAGCTATTTTGAAAGTCGCAACCAAGCTGGAAAGCCTTTTCAGTTTCACACGCTCCTGCTGTTTTTTTCTTGAGTCATTTTCAGACTTGGATTAGGGAACATTGTTAGTTTCTGTTAAAGTGATGATCTCTCACAGGCTGCACCAGTGGTGGATTTTTAAACTGTAGTTGAAGCACGAGGGATGCTCGCCCCCTTTTCGTCATTTATTAGTTTTCATTTATTTGATTCTACTCCCTATTTCATAAAGTCAGACTGTGCACAGACATATATTGTTGCTGGATATTCACCTTTTCATCCAAATTAAGATTAGAAGTAATAGTCTGTAAATAATCACACAAACAATTTGGGATAAGGAAAAGAGAAAAAAACGGATAACAAGTAAAATTTTAAGGAAAATAAGGAAAATTTTGCGTTGTATTCCTTCAGAAATTCATACATTAACATACCACCGATCCAGCATCAAACATCATGAGGCACAGACAGGTGAAGTGAATAACATGATTATCTGGTTATCATGCCTTTGTCAGGGTGGGATATATCAGGCAACAAGTGAACATTTTGTTCTCAAAGTTAATGTGTTAGAAGCATATATGAACGCTGAGCAAAATAAAGAATAAATAAATATAAACATAAGCACTGTATGTTTAGTACCAGTCAATAGTTGGCCATTTAAATAAAGAATAAATAAAAATAGTAACAACAAGATAGTAACCGTAAACATCAGTATTGTAAGCAGAGGAGTCTGAGCGCACTCTGCTGGACAAACTGTGCGATGACACCCCAGGCATTATTTTCTGCATTATATGTTTGAAATAAGTTTTCATATTGATGCATATTGAGAAACAGATTTGCAAAGACTGTTATATTTGTGATATTGTATTATATATTATATAATATATAACCCAGTGGTTCCCAGCATTTTTCCTCAAAGGACCCCTTTTCCTATCACAGCCCTGACTAAGTGAGTTTGTGTAAAAGCAAAGATTTGGATGAATTTTGAGCAGATTATTTCCTGTGAATATTGATCAGAGAAGTCTTTCTCATATTTTAGGGATATCTTTATACAGTTCTGTCTGTATTATCTTCAGCTCCTAAAAAATAATTTAAAATCAAAAAACGTATAATTGAATAAAAACTGAAAAACATCTTAGTTTTTTTTAAAAGAAGTGAACAAAATGCTGAGATACAGGCCTAATGTGTAACCACTGATAGTGTTACAGTTAGCTTTTAACATTTTCTGGTCATAGGTGGAACTGCAACAATTAATTGAGTAGTTGTTCCCCATTAAATCAATTGCCAGTTATTTTAATAAAGGATTAATTGTTGTTTTTTAAGAAAACATTTCAAAATTCTCTGATTTGAGGTTTGGCGTAAAGTCTACACTTATATTAATAAAATTACAAAAATACCCTGGGAATTTACATGTCTAATGTAAAATAATGAGAAAAATGACTCATGAAACTTATTTAGAGAAAATTTCCTTTTTTTCACAACAAAAACTAAAATTCAGATTAAAATTTAATTCAGTTCAATTCTATTTTATTTGTATAGCGCCAATTCATAACAGAAGTTATCTCAGGACACTTTTCAAATTAGAGCAGGTCTAGACCGAACTCCT